TTCGCAGATCAATCTTGAATAAACCACAGATTAACATAAACATCAGAAAAAAAAAAAGGTAAAAACAGATCAAACAAAAAATGGGCAATGGGTTTTCTGGGAATGAATCCAGAAAATGATGGAATGTAATCAAATATTCTTCTTCTAACAAAACTCGAAAAAGGGATTCGATTTGTTTTATGGATATTTCCAAAGAAAGTACATTAGCATCTGATGTTTGTGCGTGTGAGTTTGTGTTTGTTTTGTTCAGTGCTCCTCTTTTTCTTTTTCTTTTGTTGGAGGTTATTGGCCTTGTTTGGTAAATGGCTTTTTGACACATTTCAGCTTTTTTACCCATTAGCTTATTTGACTTTTTTTTCAGTTAATCAAAAAAGATGTTTGGTAATTAGCTTTTGAAATCAGCTTTTTCTACCTATCCGCTAAAAACAAAAACGCTGCGTGAGGGAGCGTTTCAAATTGGCTTTTCTGAGGGATAAAAACCAAAAGTCACAATTGCCCTTTTTTTTCTTTTTTTCATTAACCTAATTCATTCCAATCTCATTAGAACAATTTCTCACGTCCGACTTGCCTCTGCTCGTCGTTTGTCCATCTTTCAGTCCCGCTTGACGCCACCTTCCGGCAACCCCTACTAGTAGTCAGGTATTGGCTCACAAGAGGTTAGATCATATTCAATAGTTCTTTTTATGCATAGTTTTTACTACTATTTGGTGTGAAGATTTGATTTGATTTTTTATTTTATTTTTTTATTTTTTTGTTGGAGTTGATATTGTTTGCTGCTAGTTATTGTTGATTTGATGAGATTTTTGTCTTGTTTTGTAACAAATAATTTGCTGAATGATGAGTATACCTGTAACTGTTGCACCCTTGAAGAAGAAGCCCTTTTTCATTGTAGATAAGAATTTCATGATCTTATACTGTTCTGGGGCATTTCAAATGTAACAAACATTAATATTGTGGTAAAAAAAGGAACAAAAAAAGAAAATAAAAAGCATGAGTGATTAATTGTTTGTATCACTATTATCTCTAATTAAATTGAACGGTAGTGTAAAAGTTAGAAAAGTAAGGCAATCCAGATTGGTGTAACATAATCGTTTTGTTTGTTTTGAAAAAAAATTAAATTTTTAGTCTTTATTTTGTTTTGTAAGAAATTGTTTTTGAGCCCTTTTGTGTTTTACTCTTGATGTTGGTTTATTGAAATTGTGGTCAAATTTGTGGGATTTTGATTACTTCAGAGTGTTTGGGCTAGAATCAAATTTCCCTTTATTATGTGGTGTGATATTTGTTGCAAACAT